GACTTCTCGGGTGAGTGGCAGCCAACAAAAAGCGTAAACCAGTCCAGTAGCAGAAGAAACTGACGACAAGAATCCCCGCCGTACGCGTAAAAACAGAAATACAAGACACCGATATTTCGTAGGCGCGACATTCCCTCGCCGAAGTGGGTAGGGGGGAAGAGAAGGTGTGACATGTCATGTCCAGGGCTTTTTTTTTTTTTTTTTTTTTTTCGTTTCAGGCTGCCCTATAATTTCAAGGTAGTTATTCCCCCAAGTCTGAATGGAACACACTTGGAACTGGGGGACTTAGCCGAATCCTCCAGGTTGCGACGTGTATGGGAGGACTGTCTCTGTTAGTGGGGGACTTAGCCGAATCCTCTGGGTTGCAAGGGTACTACACGAGCTCTGTCTCTGCCAATGGGGGACTTCACCATTTTTTCGGGGTTGCTCGAGGGCTGTGGGAGGAATGTCTTTGGCAGTGGGGGACTAAGCTGAAATCTTGGGTTGCGAAGGGTATAGGAGGAATGACTCTCGGATTGGGGGGACTTAGCCGAAATCTATAGGTTACCAAGGGGAGAAACTATTATAGCGGGGGATCGCATGTGTGATTTTGTATGAGTGGATTTACACAACACTTTTCCGCATCAGGGTCCCTACACTTGACCACTCTTAAAAAACAGGGTCCCGTATAGATCTAGTTTTTTTCATAAGGGTCAAAAACTAAACCACTTTTAAAAACAGGGGTCCAACACCCACCCCACCCTTATTATAAGGGCCGTAAGGGTATTTTATCCTGATATTCTGAGGCCTAGTCTGGGATGCTTTAGCAGGGGTACATCCCCTTGAGGTTCCAGATCCGACTCGGGTAACCGCACACGATTCGGGTAACAACACACGCTGTATTACTGGGTCAATTATGTGTCCTTGCTGTCGTGGCGGACCCTTGAACTTATGCGTGTTCGACTGTCGGTCAATGGTCAACGACCGTTGCATTTCGTGGTTCGCGTCATAGACTCGAACTCGACAAGGGTTACGGCTCGAGTGTCACTTTCATGAGTGTAAGTAATTCCTTATCGTAACACTCCCCTTCATTGCTAAAGGTACTCAAACTTGGCGCACTTGGGGATTCCACAGAGCTCGGCGCAGTGCAGGTACTGTTGTCGTGGCAGCTTTTTGGTGGGGAAGTGAGCTGCCATGTTACCAGTAAGACAGTACGTCTGGTCCACTTTTCCTTTGTCGATTTCTTCCTTGACGAAGAAGTGTCCCAGAGCGATATGCTTCGTGCGATTGACGAAGCCGGGCTTGTTGGCGATCTTGATTGCAATCTGGTTGTCGCACTGTGATTGAATGCTGACGAAGTGCTGAGCTTCGTCTCCTGTAACAGTTCTTGGATGTAGAGTCATTCGCGAATGACGGATGCTGCTGCGATGCACTCAGTTTCTACCAAGGAGAGAGCAACCAGCTCCTGCTTCTATGAGCTATAGGAGGTGTATCGAGTAGGTTCCAGTCAAGAGAGGAACCATGTGCGGGAACGGTGTGAGAGTACGACCCCGTTACACCACTTGGCCTTTTCTTATTTCCTTCCCTTTTCATTTCTCTTTTTACCGCATCTCATTTGGCTTCCTATTCTTCCTTTTCCATCAACCTTTGGTTTATCCTGCTATTATAATTATATCACCGACCAGGCTTGGGATGTACTGGCACATTATCCAGCGTAATCCTGCCGTAATCCCTTAAAGCCAATAGCCTCGCGTGGCTATACGCAGGGTGATTCTATCTTCTAGAAGGGTCTATTTCTTTAGGATAAGATAAACCTGGTTACCTGATGTACTCTGGAAGTATAAAAGCGCCTTGTACTGATCGATAGTGCAACCTTTCCTCGACACATTTGATCCTGTGACACTTGGTAATCAGAGCTTTTCTCACTCGACCGCGCTCAGCTAAGCAGCAGCAGCGGGGATCCTGCCTCGAAAAACCGCCGGGGGCGACCAATTCGACGCCGATTCTGGTAAGCACCAGCTCCGCGATTTTCGAATTACCCCCTCCCTGCGTGTTTTGAACAGGATGGCAACCTTCGACAACGCCGAGGTTACCCAGCAGCTCTTCGCGCGCATCGCAGCCCTACAGGAGGAAATGCGAGCGGATCGCGAAGCGTGGCGAAACCAGTTCGAGCGAGTAACTCGACTCGCCGGAGCGCAGCACGAGATGACAACGGCGACGACGCAGCAGTCGCAGCAGTTTCTCGAGGCTCCGAAACCGCGCCCACCTGAGCCGTTCGATCCGAGCGATCGAAACTCCGACGCCCGCGGATGGATCGCCGGGATGGAGATCTACTTCGCAGCCGTCGGATGGAGCTCGCCAGTCTGGGACGGTCAACGTGTACGACTCGCGGCGACACTGATGCGAGGGCCGGCACTCGAGTGGATTGGCGGCAACAGTACTTTCATCCACGGTGAAGCCACGTGGCAGCAGTTCCGCGCCGACCTGCTGAAACGCTTCGAACCGATAAATTCAAGTTTCCTTGCCCGCGAAAAAATTCATCGCCATCGACAGTTCGGGAGTGTAGCACAGTACACGCAGCAGATGGAAGAATTTTATAACCGAATTCCCGACCTGACCGAAGGGGAAAAAGTACAATCGTACCTCGCCGGGCTGAAGACCGAAGTCAAACGACAAGTCGCAGCGTCAAACTACGCGAGCTACAGTGATGTCGTTTCGGCAGCGGAGCGCTTCGACATGGTCAACGCCGGAACACGACGGACGCACGTCGGCAGTACGCGACAGGGCGACCGCTCGGCTCACCCCACGTTCGCCGACCCGATGGAAGTCGACAGATTCGAGGGGCGGCCACGTCCGAAAAACACCAACTACACGTGCGATTTTTGCGGGGTGCCGGGCCACCGAATCTTCGACTGCAACAAAATGAAAGCCGCACGCGCAGAGTATCGGACACGCAACAGTGGCGGAAATCTTTCGGCCAATCAGAAGACAAAAAACGGGAGTCGCCAGTGATTGCGGATCTAGCTGGCGAAAATAAAAAGATCCGAAAGCGGCCGCGGGATTCCGGAAAAATCAACTTCGACGAAGCTGATTCGACGCGAGAAGGAGGAAATGATGGGGGAAAATCTCCACCCCACGACCAGTCTTCGCCAGGGAAAATCGCCGAGGAAAAATACGACTCCGCGAAAAAAGACTCTGCCGAGACAGGGGAACTCCTTGAAGACCCAAGAAATTATAAGAATTCGTTAAAGTTATCTTATAAAGATGCTTTAATGAAAACTTATGATGTTCGAGGGGCTAGAGCCTTGGAGAAATTTCGGGAGGGACTCCA